CACAGGCGCACCTCACCTCGCTTCATAATAACGCACCAACCGTATCACTTCAATGGACCAGCTGCAATCACTACTCCAGAGTAAGCGTAACGCATTTCAACAGCCTAGGATGAAATTTATCGAGATTTTGGCAATGTAGACTATAATCAAAATAAATCATTCAGCTAAAGCACCCTTTCGGTGCCTGGTTGCCATGCCACTCGAAGGAAGCTAAGTCGCCCAAGCCCAGACAAGGGAAGTCGAGAGGCAGAAGTCGGGTTCGAACCATGGACCTGACGGTCAGTAAATTCGCGCTCTAAACACTGAGCCATCTCGCCCAATGTAGACTACCCAGTTGATCAACTGAGCAGTGGTAACAGGATAGACCTCGACTCCATAATTCCTAATTCCACGGGTTTGACGCCTGACTTTGGATCTTTGATCAAATAAATACGAACAATTTACTTTGGTCAGAAATAGCCCATCTCCCAAATGATATGAAAGTCAGGTTGCCACTGCCAACGTTCGACAAAACAGGATCTGAGTGATCTTTGAAGTTCATCTTGCGGAAACACGGGGTGAAGAGCAAGACCCCGTTACACATCATCACTGTTCGAAGTTGACGAAGAACATCAGTGGTAAGTGGGTCAATTATGTTGACATCGGCAAGCGTGAGTGTGAACGTTTCAAAAGACAGTAGGCATAACGACAATTCCGGACAGCTTTGTACGCGGCACTGAACTGCCCTAGGATGCGGATGGTCGGACAAGGCTAGTGAACAAAAGTGAACGGTATCACCCTGCAATATCGCAAAAGTATGCCAAAGACGGATGGACCGAAACAGTGACATGCCGTTGACTATCAATGTCGACCATTGCTACTGTGAAACTTCATGCGGTCGGTAGCCTAAATGCGCCGAAGAGGAAAGACTAAAGCGGGACGCTGGATTCAAAATCACTGTTCCCTTGTTGTGAATATAAGCCCACTGGCCCCGGCCCAAGCACAAACCACTACGCAACAAGTGTGGCACGAAAGTCCACGAGAAGCAATACTAAGAGTGACGATAGAAGGGCGTGCCAACATAATGTTTGCACGTATCTGGTACGATATCCACATTTTGAAGGCAATTAATGCAATGTTTCACGAGGCATTCAAACGTACATACGCAGAATTATACTGCCAGGGCCCACCTACAGTTCTGCACCTCAGATATCAAATTGATCGTTCAGGCAAACAGAACATTACTCGAAATACATCAAAGGTGAAAGTTAGTGGTGATCTCCCACTCTACCTTACAGATTACCATGACTTTTGCTCACGTAGTCTCGATTGGATGGATGGCCCGAATTTTTTAGTCCATGAAACATTCTAAAAACAACAAACGGCAGAAAATAGCCCGAATTATTCACGATTCGCGAGGAAAACCAAGTAGGACTGCTGCCATGCACTCGGACATTTCAGATAAGGCTTCGTTCGAGGGCCCCAATCGTTATCCAGAGAGCCCTGACAATCCCAGCCCACGTACAACCATGATCCACACAACTAACAATATTCTCGTGCCACACTGACCGTCGTGCGGTGTCATCAGCTGCATCACCTTAATTGCTGCATACAGTGTACGGGTAAGCGAAAACGTACAACCTCCACACAACTAACAATATTCTCGTGCCACACTGACCGTCGTGCGGTGTCATCAGCTGCATCACCTTAATTGCTGCATACATACAACGGGTAAGCGAAAACAGACTAATGTTGAAGCATCTCTTCTCTCCATTTAACGTACCCCCCCCACACACACACACCTCACTTCTTCTCTTACACTACCCAACCCGTTTGAACACTCACTCCGCAGGTTCCAGCACTAAAAATCAGCGCTTTGTTCACCATGTATCACACTCAGCTGCAGCTTCTGAATGTCCGCCTTCACACCTCAAATTCTTTTTTTCAAACCCCGAAAGCAGGACCGTGCAACGCTTCCAGGAGCAAAAACAAAACAGATTTGTAGTGATGGTAAATTAATTCACCTAGTAAAACAAACAATTATAAAGAGCGAAAGCGCCACAAGGTATCCAAAGCAAATTAATCTGCGGAAACGTTGGATATAAAAGCTAGTTCTTGAGCACATAACGGATTGTCTCTGGATAAAATCAACAAACGGTATAATGGGTTGGACGGCGCGATTGAGATGCGCCTGAGGATGCGGTTGAGCAGGGCCCAAATCACAGCCTTTCTCCTGTTCCCACATCAACCCAACACCGCAACCGTGCCGCCTTATCGATTGCCATCAATACGCGCTGAATGTAGCCCCAGTGGTCAGGTGTAGCCATGAGTGAATTCATCGCTTGGTGCGGAGGGCTAGCGGTGACTGCCGTACAAAGTTGAGCAAACCAGTGGTTCCAGGCTTGGCCAATCGGTGAAAATAACTCGGACGACGGTGATTTAAGTTCGCTGGCGGTAGTGGAGGGCTAAAAACGTGGAATATTTGACAGTCCTGAAAACACGTTTTGTATTGATCGTATTGATGTGTTTCCAAAAGGTATGGAACTAAAGTGAGAGTCAGCTACTCAAACCCGATAAAACAAGTCGTCTTTTCAAGAAAAAGCTCACTTCTTAATAAGCATGACATTGTCCCAATAAGGACAATTTGTGATAGATACCACTCTGTCCCGGTTCCTCGAATCGAAGGATTGAAAACTAAACTCAAAACACCCTCCAAAATGGCCAGAAAATTTAGGCCATTGTTAACTCGTCACTCCCCGAAAGGATAGCTTTTTCCAGAAATAGAAAAACACTAAAACTGACTGGAATTGCAGATTATTTTTGGCTATCTACGGCCAGCCAAAATGCCTGAACATCAAGTTAAGCTATTTTGATTACTTCTGGTGTGCTTAAGGTACTGTTGAACGGGACTGACGATCCTGCCATACAGAGATCGTCCAGTGGCACAAGGGTGTGGTGACGCATCAAAGGATGCATCTTGGAGCTCAGTAGTGATTAGTCTGCCCATTCTGGTCAACGCCAGGAATGCTAAATTATAAGTGATTTGAGTAGACTGTTGCGCGGCTGACAACTCAGCTGTAGAGGTCAAGGTTCTCAGATGATCACGCCACAAAAACGAGATGATTCTGTTCTTCAACGACAAAAAGGCCGATCAAAAAGACGCACGGGACAGTGCCCAACTGTTAAGACTGTTAGAGATAACAAATAAAAGGCTTACAGTGTCATGAAAATACAATTCAGTCACGTGAATTTCCACTTGATGTTTAAGACTGTGACTCAAGACAGGCGTCCACCGCAGACCAACCACGAGTTGGGTAGCATAACCCTAACATGAATGACGGCTGGCAGTACAACTCTGAAAATGCTGCCCTTCGTAAAGATCGACCGCTCGAAAAGTCATGGGACTGTGGTTTCTTCAAAGTAATTATGAAAGAACATCAACTATGATAAAATCACAGGTTACTTCATAAAAGTGAACATGCATCATGAGTGGACATTCAGACCGGACCACAGTCTTGTCCTTCAATGTGACGGAAGTCTATCTCACCGATTGTTCCAAAGCAGATCTGCTGAGCTGGAAATCATTCCAACAGCAGCTTCGCGTCGAGGTAGCCTTCAATACCACTATAGCAGTAACAACAAAATTTTAAGCATGACTTGAATCGCGCACAATTATGGAGATTATTTAATCCTCGAATGCCAGACTAATGTTGAAGCATCTCTTCTCTCCATTTAACGTACCCCCCCCACACACACACACCTCACTTCTTCTCTTACACTACCCAACCCGTTTGAACACTCACTCCGCAGGTTCCAGCACTAAAAATCAGCGCTTTGTTCACCATGTATCACACTCAGCTGCAGCTTCTGAATGTCCGCCTTCACACCTCAAATTCTTTTTTTCAAACCCCGAAAGCAGGACCGTGCAACGCTTCCAGGAGCAAAAACAAAACAGATTTGTAGTGATGGTAAATTAATTCACCTAGTAAAACAAACAATTATAAAGAGCGAAAGCGCCACAAGGTATCCAAAGCAAATTAATCTGCGGAAACGTTGGATATAAAAGCTAGTTCTTGAGCACATAACGGATTGTCTCTGGATAAAATCAACAAACGGTATAATGGGTTGGACGGCGCGATTGAGATGCGCCTGAGGATGCGGTTGAGCAGGGCCCAAATCACAGCCTTTCTCCTGTTCCCACATCAACCCAACACCGCAACCGTGCCGCCTTATCGATTGCCATCAATACGCGCTGAATGTAGCCCCAGTGGTCAGGTGTAGCCATGAGTGAATTCATCGCTTGGTGCGGAGGGCTAGCGGTGACTGCCGTACAAAGTTGAGCAAACCAGTGGTTCCAGGCTTGGCCAATCGGTGAAAATAACTCGGACGACGGTGATTTAAGTTCGCTGGCGGTAGTGGAGGGCTAAAAACGTGGAATATTTGACAGTCCTGAAAACACGTTTTGTATTGATCGTATTGATGTGTTTCCAAAAGGTATGGAACTAAAGTGAGAGTCAGCTACTCAAACCCGATAAAACAAGTCGTCTTTTCAAGAAAAAGCTCACTTCTTAATAAGCATGACATTGTCCCAATAAGGACAATTTGTGATAGATACCACTCTGTCCCGGTTCCTCGAATCGAAGGATTGAAAACTAAACTCAAAACACCCTCCAAAATGGCCAGAAAATTTAGGCCATTGTTAACTCGTCACTCCCCGAAAGGATAGCTTTTTCCAGAAATAGAAAAACACTAAAACTGACTGGAATTGCAGATTATTTTTGGCTATCTACGGCCAGCCAAAATGCCTGAACATCAAGTTAAGCTATTTTGATTACTTCTGGTGTGCTTAAGGTACTGTTGAACGGGACTGACGATCCTGCCATACAGAGATCGTCCAGTGGCACAAGGGTGTGGTGACACATCAAAGGATGCATCTTGGAGCTCAGTAGTGATTAGTCTGCCCATTCTGGTCAACGCCAGGAATGCTAAATTATAAGTGATTTGAGTAGACTGTTGCGCGGCTGACAACTCAGCTGTAGAGGTCAAGGTTCTCAGATGATCACGCCACAAAAACGAGATGATTCTGTTCTTCAACGACAAAAAGGCCGATCAAAAAGACGCACGGGACAGTGCCCAACTGTTAAGACTGTTAGAGATAACAAATAAAAGGCTTACAGTGTCATGAAAATACAATTCAGTCACGTGAATTTCCACTTGATGTTTAAGACTGTGACTCAAGACAGGCGTCCACCGCAGACCAACCACGAGTTGGGTAGCATAACCCTAACATGAATGACGGCTGGCAGTACAACTCTGAAAATGCTGCCCTTCGTAAAGATCGACCGCTCGAAAAGTCATGGGACTGTGGTTTCTTCAAAGTAATTATGAAAGAACATCAACTATGATAAAATCACAGGTTACTTCATAAAAGTGAACATGCATCATGAGTGGACATTCAGACCGGACCACAGTCTTGTCCTTCAATGTGACGGAAGTCTATCTCACCGATTGTTCCAAAGCAGATCTGCTGAGCTGGAAATCATTCCAACAGCAGCTTCGCGTCGAGGTAGCCTTCAATACCACTATAGCAGTAACAACAAAATTTTAAGCATGACTTGAATCGCGCACAATTATGGAGATTATTTAATCCTCGAATGCCACTCAAAACTGCGTGATACCACGCCGGAAGAGTTCGGTGCAGGTAAATTATGCGTGATTGTGCAATAACAAAAACTAACAACTTTACTTTTCCTCGCGATGAAGACAACTCAATGAGACTGAAAATCCAAACGTGACAAGATACGAAAAAGCGAACAGCTAAGTCCACTTTCATTCGGTTTTAAATCTCAACTGCACAGTTCATCAGCAAACATGATTGGAAAGTAAGTCAATTCTATATCCAACGATATGGGATACGAAGAACAATATCCTGAACTATTTCAGCCTAACAACATTGTGCTATCGACGTTCGTTGCGTAGTGGAGAAACACAAGAACGGCTGATCGATTAAAGGAACAGAGAGCAGAAAACGAATGACAATGAGTAACTGACTAGTTCGAATACAGTCGCAAGAATGTTGCACAGTACCCGCTTCAAGTGCTAATATTTGGCGAAATGAATGAGCACTTTAGCCTCTGATGAAATCCCATGTTTATGGCTTGTTTTGAAGAATTATGTTTCAAACAGGTCCTAACGAAAACAGAGCATTTTGAAATAGAAACAGACATAGCAGGTCAATACAATTACTGGCAAGTCTGTAATGGATCACTTAGTCCACCCAAAAATAAGGATTGGGTCAACGCTGTCCGAGATGGAAGGGACTGCTAAGGCTCACACATAATTTAACGCACCTCTTTCAGTTAGCCTAGGCAACATGACTTAATTAGATGCTCCGCCTAAAAACAGCACTGGAGTATTAAATAAAGGATAAAAACCACTGTGACTTGTGCTGCGCAGATGACAACGAGATGGTTACATGTTTCCTTCAGACCTACTGACGTACTGAGAAACTGCCGATTGAGGCAATACCGTTGTCCGGTAAAATTTCTAAATTGCACACGGTACCAAACACAACCATAGAACTCTCGACCTGTACTAGCCAGGAAAAAGGCGGACAACCCATGTGTAACGATGCTTCAAAATAAGAATGAAAAACAGTGTTCATAGTAGGACCAGGCGTGAGATAGATGGACACACGAGTAGCAATAGTCATTCAACCAATCCAATACCATACGCCTTCTCAGGAGAACATATCTTCTTGCTTAAATTTCAGTGAAAGACTTTAGGACTCCAACAAGAAGGGTTTAAAAAATGCTGTGAAAATGTTTCCATGGGTGATGGTTTTTCGGCACAGTAACACCGTCTACACCACCCAAAAGCTGCAGCAGTAGTAGATATCGTCATACCACCGATGAAGTCAGGCTTAACAGCAGTGTAATGTGGGTAATGCGTGGTCAATCAAGAACTGAAGCATATCCATATACAAATACTCGAACTTAACAATCAAAAAACGGCCTCCTCTAATGGATGCATTCGGGTATTTTAGAAACAAACACCACTTACCGAATAATCCGAATCTCCATCCTCAAACTGGCCACCCTTTTGACACTTCGGTGGCAAGAAAAAGGTTTCTTCACTGCAGCGGGAGGAGGTTTCAGGTTTCTTGTTGACGCCAACACTATGGAATATCATTTCGTCAAGCTGACCCTCTTCAGTAACCTCTGCTAAGGGGGGCAAATGATGACAATCACCATCATTCACAAGTAAGCTATTATGATGTTCGGCTGAGGCCGATATAGATTGAGTGGATCTAATCGATTGGACGGGAGTCCAGCATACCCGATCTCCACCCTCCGGCAACAGAAATCGACCTGATGAACCCGTAAGTTCTATTCGGAGCTCAAAACTGTCCGTCTTTGTCTCAAGAGAATCAGCGGGATGACTTGGGACAGTCGGGGGATCAATAGTTGTAGTAAGATCTGCAGAGAGGCACAACATGGCAACAGGTGTACTGCCAACCCGCGAGTCGGATGATGAGCTAGACTCCAGTTCCATAACAACGACAGCATAATCCTCAGCCGAAACGCGTCGAATGGACTTCGGATCTGCGGACAAATCGGTGTCAAACGTTCGTGCTAGACAAGTAACAGAGACAATACGAAGTCCGAGGGTAATGATAAAAAGTGTATCAATCAAACTGGCTCCATAGATGTTCAGCAAGCCGCCGCCCATAGAACCACTCTCGCACATCCATGAGTAGCGTCCGAACTGTATGGGTCTTGTAGCCACTAGACGTGCGTGAACGCTACGAACGGCACCGAGTGACCAATGGGATGGAAGGTTGGATGGATTTCGAGCAGTGTTGAGCGCAAGACTGTCAATGGACGATTTCAAGTGAGTGTGAAGACAGTGAACTGATGGGAGTAAACGGAAGGGCATAGCCACCCCGATAAAATTTCTCGAATCTGAAAGAACTGTGGTGTTGTAGCATGGGCTGACCGGTGGGAGAAGAATAACAGCAGGGAATTGGTGGCGCCTATCCACCGATGTTTCAGTCATAGGTAAGGTAGACTTGAGGATACCGTACTGAGTTTGAGGTGGGACGCACAAAAGAATAATATCTGTGTTCTTATCCTGCAACAGGTCCGCAAACGGTTTTGTCACAAGTGGGATGTCCCGGAGGGATTCGGGGGTAGCAATGCATTTCGTACTCCAGAACCCGCAAACGTGAATGTGAAGTTGCGGTGAAGTGATTGCGCTCAAAATGTGCTGTTGGTAGAAGGACGGTAGGCCACACAACAGAAGGCTGATGTTGGACTGCTTAGGCATCCTCAGAAGTTGATATACGCAACGGATTCAAGCATCCTGTAGAGATTTAAGGAAACGAATATTTGAGTACTGAATTATCACCGATATTATCATCATCAAAGACAGCAAAATCAGTGTTGACCCTGAGAATTCACCGCCGTACAACCATAAGGTTAGTCTAATTATATTTAAAACCCTAGAGTGAAGAGAAGAGAAAGAGTGAGGTGAGGGAGGGGATCTAGTGATGACCTATGTCAAGCATTCTGAGATGCTAACCCCTCCAACATACAGTTAGACAATCTGGAAACTGACAGCAAGAACGCCACTGACATCGGTTAGCCGCCCCATTGGTCAGTGACTCCAGCCGAGCAAACAGAGGGTCATGTAGACCCCATCCTGGAAGATGAACAGCACCTACCGCATCACAGCTTTTCACATCCTTCATCTTCATGTAAAATTTTGTTCACCTCTAGGTTTCAGCTACTTCGAGGACAGCGCTTGCCTCATCAGTTGATAACTCAGCATGTGTAACACATGACTCATCACGAGAATGGATTTTACCATGGCTTGCGCACCACAGCAACCCAGTGAACATTGCAGTAAATTCAAACACCAAACACCGCTGCATTTTGGTTAGGCTCTCGAGATGAATACGTTGGTTGGGAACCCTGATCGTCCTCCTGTCTAGGTGCGGGCATCCTGGCAGTCTCCCAGCAAACGTACAACCATGATACCTACGTTTAACAACAAACTCATGCCACATCGGCCATTGCGTGGGGCCTTCAGCCGGGTCGCCTTACTCGCCACTCAGTCCTGAAGTAGCACTTTAAACTTTGCAGGTGCGAAGCGCATGCCAAACCGTGATCCGGAATTATTTAGATTATTTACTATTGTTTGAACCACCACGGGGTCAGATCTAAGAAGAGCTATGCTGTCTGCGTACTCGATATCTGTGCGTGGACGCCCAGGGAGCATCATCATCATCATCATCAAAGACAGCAACATCAGTGTTGCCACTGATGCTTCACTGCCGTACAACCATAAAGTTCGTTTAGTTATACGCAACGGATTCAAGCATCCTGTAGAGATTTAAGGAAACGAATATTTGAGTACTGAATTATCACCGATATTATCATCATCAAAGACAGCAAAATCAGTGTTGACCCTGAGAATTCACCGCCGTACAACCATAAGGTTAGTCTAATTATATTTAAAACCCTAGAGTGAAGAGAAGAGAAAGAGTGAGGTGAGGGAGGGGATCTAGTGATGACCTATGTCAAGCATTCTGAGATGCTAACCCCTCCAACATACAGTTAGACAATCTGGAAACTGACAGCAAGAACGCCACTGACATCGGTTAGCCGCCCCATTGGTCAGTGACTCCAGCCGAGCAAACAGAGGGTCATGTAGACCCCATCCTGGAAGATGAACAGCACCTACCGCATCACAGCTTTTCACATCCTTCATCTTCATGTAAAATTTTGTTCACCTCTAGGTTTCAGCTACTTCGAGGACAGCGCTTGCCTCATCAGTTGATAACTCAGCATGTGTAACACATGACTCATCACGAGAATGGATTTTACCATGGCTTGCGCACCACAGCAACCCAGTGAACATTGCAGTAAATTCAAACACCAAACACCGCTGCATTTTGGTTAGGCTCTCGAGATGAATACGTTGGTTGGGAACCCTGATCGTCCTCCTGTCTAGGTGCGGGCATCCTGGCAGTCTCCCAGCAAACGTACAACCATGATACCTACGTTTAACAACAAACTCATGCCACATCGGCCATTGCGTGGGGCCTTCAGCCGGGTCGCCTTACTCGCCACTCAGTCCTGAAGTAGCACTTTAAACTTTGCAGGTGCGAAGCGCATGCCAAACCGTGATCCGGAATTATTTAGATTATTTACTATTGTTTGAACCACCACGGGGTCAGATCTAAGAAGAGCTATGCTGTCTGCGTACTCGATATCTGTGCGTGGACGCCCAGGGAGCATCATCATCATCATCATCAAAGACAGCAACATCAGTGTTGCCACTGATGCTTCACTGCCGTACAACCATAAAGTTCGTTTAGTTATGTCAAGCATACTGAGGTACCTGCACCTCCAACCGCTCAATCAATCGGGAAAGAAACTGACAGCAAGAACGCCACTGACATCGATTAGCAGCCATTTCTTGCAACGTCTCAAGCCAAGCACAGACGGGGTCACGGGGACCCCATCCTGGAAGTCTCACAACACCAACAACACCCAAACTTCGTGATCTCTTTCACGCTTTTTTGCCAAGTCATGTGCTGTCCACCTCGCGGTTTGCGCCATCCTGAAGGAGGCACGGAGAACAACACTCGTCTCTGTAGACGGTGTTTCGGCATGCGTAGCACATGACCGAGCCATCGCAGTCGATGATCTTAGATGTTTTCCCGGATTGAGGTGCCTTCAACATAACCAAATACCCGTTTCCTAATCGCCTCGTTACTGACACGCTGACGCCATCCACAACCAGGCACGCTTCTGAGGCATCGGTGGTCGAAAACCTGACGGCGCCTCACATCATCTACCCGCAGAATCCATGTCTCACACCCATACAACAACACGGCCCTTACTGTAGCCTGGTACACACGACCCTTAAGATCCAGTGAGATGCCTTTTTGACGCCACAAGTGACGCAAATTAGCAAACGTGATTCGGGCCTTTGAGATTCTTGCACTGACTTCATCAGACACAATTCCGTCAGAGCTAATACAACTACCAAGGTATGTAAAGTTCTCCACAATCTCCAGTGGTTCTTCTTGAATTGTAAGGGATATGTTCGCAGATGGCACGTTCTGAAGCAGGACTTTGCACTTTGAAGGTGCAAGGCGCATGACAAATGATGGTACGATGGCGGTCAGTTTATTCAACAGGGCTTGTGCTTCGCTATGGTCTTCAAAGATGAGGGCGATGTCATCTGCGTACTCCAGGTCGACAAGGCTCTCGCCAGCAACAATTTGAACACCGGGGTTTTGAAAACCGTCCAGTGTTCGTCTCATTATTTCACCAATGACGAAGTTGAACAAGAATGGGGAGAGTAGACATCCTTGTGTAACACCACACTTTTTGTAGGGAAGCTTTTTGAGATTTCACCATACCGACCACCATCGCCCAGAAGTATGTGAATATAGAGATCGGATTATGTTTAGAAACTTCTGGGGCATACCCTGTTGAGCAAGTATAGTTAACAGCACTCATCGATCAACAGAATCGAACGCACCCTTGAAGTCAAGGAATACCAGGATTGTGGGTCGTCTGTACATGTGGCGTTGCTCTAAAACCTGACGGAGTGTGAAGATGTGGTCAACGCAGCCTCTACCCGGTCGAAATCCCGCTTGATTCTCACGAGTCAGGACTTCGCGTACCGCCATGAGACGACGAAGAATCAATGACACACGAAGCCTTGTCACAACAGGCGTTATACTAACACCTCTGTGGTTGCCACATTCACTGCGAGTACCCTATTTGAAAATGGGCACTACTATCGATTCACTCCAGTTGTCTGGGACGGTCTCCTCCCAGATAAACCCAAATAGGCTAGACAGGCACTGGCTGAGGAATCCACCACCATCCTTGAAAAGAGCAGGTGGAAGGTCGTCAGGACCAGCAGCACGATG